CTGTGAGGTTGATGAAATTATACAGGAACTAAAAAAAAATCGGCACCGGGACACGATGGAATAACAACAAAAGATATAATTAGTTTAAAAAATTATATTCTAGAGATTTTAACGAAGTTAATAAATAATGTACTTGTTAGTTGCACTTTTCCGCCAGAATTAAAAATTAGTAAAATAAATCCTATATTTAAATCAGGAAAGGCGGATCTTATGAATAACTACAGACCTATCTCAGTTATTAGTATTTTTTCAAAAATTATAGAAAAAATCATTACACGTAGGATGCTGCAATTTATTGGAAATAATATAGAAGTTGACAAGTTTCAGTATGGTTTCATCAAGGGTAGTAACACACTGTCAACTACATTCGATTTTGTAAATTATGTCTCAAAAAACCTTGACCAGAAAAATGTGGTAGTTGCAATATTTGTCGATTTGAGGAAGGCTTTTGACGTAGTTTCATTGGATAAAATGCTACATAAATTGGGTTTACTGGGATTTCAGGGTAATTTTTTTTGTTAATTGAGTCATATGTGAGGGACCGTTACCAATATGTTAAACTAAACAATACTCAAAGTGAAATGTTAACAAATAGATGTGGGGTACCGCAGGGGTCAGTATTAGGACCTTTGCTTTATTCATTATATGTTTTAAATCTTAGACTAGCAAATCTCACAGCGCATTATTTTACATTTGCTGATGATACGGCCCTTATCTACACAGGAAAAGAAGAAAGTCATTTGAAAAATCAAATAAACGAAGATTTAGATCGTTACCTTGAATGGTTGTATTCAAATAAATTGCAAATTAACTTAGATAAAACAAAATATTTTACAAAAAAATAAAATAGTTGGTAATATTGAGATTAAAATAAACTACGTCTCTCTTGAACAAGTTGAAAATATTAAATATTTAGGACTATTAATTGACGATCTCTTGCTCTGGAAACCCCACATTAATCACGTAATTGAAAAACTAAATGCAATGGTACCGATCTTATATAAATGTCGACAATATCTTACATATAATACAAAGATGAATGTATACAACTCATATTTTCTTTCCCATTTAAGATATCTAATTCCCATATGGGGCATATGCAGTTCGACCAGTTTAAATGATATTCAAGTTCAACAAAACAAAATTTTAAAGGTTCCTTTTAATTACAATATACTAACTAACACAGAATATTTATATACACAACTAAATATGTACAAAATAGAAATGTTACTTCAGCTTGAGCAGTGCAAACTGATGTTCAAAATTATACATAAACAACAAAAATGCAACTCAGGGCTAGTTTTTCAAAATGAAATACATACTTACGGCACAAGATCAGAAAACAATGTTTATATTGGCAATAGCAGAATAAATATTGGTCTTCACTCCCCCATGCATTCTGCATCTAGGAGTTATAATAATTTACCTATTAATTTAAAAGAGTTACAAAACTTTAGTCAATTTCATAGGAAACTCAAAATGCACTTAGGTACTGATATAACTTAATAATAGTATTTGTTTTCATAGAAATATTTAAAAAAAAAAAAAAAAATATTTGTTAACTTTAGTTAGATTTAGCATCGCCATTTTGTTATTAATATTATATTCTTGAGACCAGTGTTTTATACACTGATTTAAGATTATGTGTAATATGAATGTACTATAAAAAAAATTGTGAATAAATGGTTAAAAAAAAAAATATGTGAAGGCTCGGAAATCTGTTAAGGCATACATTTCATGTGAAAGACGCCATTTTTCGTATACGTTCAACAATCGAATGGTTTCGAAAATCGCACCCCGGATCCGACATTAATCGAAAACTAATAAAGAATGGGAGAAAGAACAACGGCAGTGGTGGCTCTAGACATACGGCAACATTGTTACATTTTGGTCAGCTGTTTACCCCTCGCTCGAGACATACGGCAACGTTGTAAATGTGACAATAACCGAATTTTCGCGACAAATGTAGTTCACCAATAGTTAATGGTTCATCCAAGGACGAACCATAGTGCGTCTTGTGAAGTCATGAGTTTGAACGCTGGCTAGAAGCTGAGTCCATGCTTCTGGTGAACTACGTTCAAAATGACGTCATGAGTTTCTCGCGAAAGCGTTTGTGTTCATGAAATCACGGAAGTAGTTCGTCGCGAAAATTCGGTCATTGTTTGTATACATCTGTGTGTTACCCGCAGCGTCAAAAGTCATATTTGAGCTTGAAGACAGAGAGTATTTAAAACAAAGCAACATAACCCATAAGCCGTTTTTTTTTTTTGGAGAGAATCACTCCCTACAACATTCCAAATATCCTCATTTTTATCTAAAAACTATTAGTTTTGGAGTCTATATACCTAGTGGTATAGGTATATCCAAAATATATTCACCCTATATAATTAAACTAAGTACCTGAACAGCTGTGTTTTCGCCTGTTAATGCAATGTTGCTAAGTCGATTTTTTTTTACATAGTTTATCAGCATAAATGTATTCAATTAGAATTCCGTAAATCCTTATTATTCAAAGTTCCTTGCCACATGGCTACGATGAAATTAAACGAAAAATGATGAAAAAGTGGGAGAACAAAGAGCTTTAAAATGTAAACAATGTGATGCCTTTATATTTTCTATGGTTACACTAAAATATAAATGAATCCACTAAAATTGATATAAATTCCACAAGGCTTCTAATATTTTTCTTTCATCTTCTTTCTTCGCGATTCTTTATTCGTACCTAATTGTGCAAATTTAAGCCTCTAAAGATCCGAATTACAAATAAAGAAATCCTCCTTTGATTTATTCAACCCACCATCTAGTTTGCATCTTTTTAGCAAATTTTAAACCCATCAAGTTTCACTTCAAATACTTTTAAATCTCTTTAAATTAAATGTAACAAATCTCACTTCTACTGGCATTTTACTCACTAAAGCAGCATTTGGGCATCGATTTAAGTGATATGCAGGCGCAATTCGCAGCTTGTCTTTTCTGCTTCTCTTTTAATAAAGTACCAAGGTTTTATCTCCTTTAAAATACTCACATGCAAGATTTGATTTTTTAGATTTATTTTAGGGTACGAGCTGAAATATCTTTTGAAGCTGTTAGAGCTATCGATTTTGGTCTATATGAGTTGACCTGCTTTACCTCAAGCCATTTTTTTGAAATGGCATTATACCTTTTGTGATACCCTGATAGAAAGGTCGAAAAGCATGGAATTTAATGCACAACGCGTAATCATTTAAAAAATAGATAATAGATATATTTTGGCTATTGACTGATAAGGGTCAACTACTTACTTAATACGACTTTGACACAGGGTGCTGATAAAATCTGAAATAACTCATTTTACAGTCAAATGATACCATAATTGTGCAAATATCTCTCGGTTTCAAACGATTTACAAGCAAGTTTACGGTGGGATGCAAAAATGTAATAAGTTTGTAATATAATTTCGAAAAGTAGAATTTACAGCTGTCTTTACCTTGTTTCTGAAAGATAAATATCCTACCCAAGTGTCTATCAGCAGTGCCTCTGAAAAAATCAGATCTAGAAAAGTGTCGTTACTACAATCCAAATTGTCCTTTTTGCATTGCGAAGGGTCTCTTCTGTATTCCGGCTATTTGCAATGCTTATAGGTTGAGGTGGACAAGTAGTTCAAACAAATGTGTAGAGTGCCTATAAATGATTGAAGGAGATAAATTACACAAAACTCCTGGAACCGATTTTAAATTAAAAATGCAGTCATTAAGTACTTGATTGAAACGTTGCATGGAGGTTTTCTCAATGCCCTAAACATACGTGATAAGTATTTGAAACATATGTAATATTTTTTGTAATACGTTGTGAAGAAGAAATGTAAATCATCCGTCCCAGATGGATTACAAAACCTTTCGAATACATATATCCTGAAAAGGTCCTAAAACATGTTTTTAGAGAACTCTTATATGTAGAATTTAAAAACATCCACAGAACATTAGTGAATGTTCAAGACGGTTCTGGAAGTTTGGCTAATATGAAGTTGGAGGTCTTGGAAACATTTATAGTATCTACGCATATATTCATTCCCTCCTAATGCATGAATGAGGTGACATCGTCAATTTTTTTGAAGAACAGAAGTAATTTGCAGCAATTAACGTCTGCGTAAGTGAGCTGTCTTTTGAAACGTATTGTTTGTTTTTGGTTATTATGTAGGTATCTCCCAAGTATCTAATGGCTTAGACCAACATAGCTTTTTTTCGATTATATTGTGTTAATCTGTCGAAAAATTTATTGCATTATGATTATTGTCCATTTGTATTATTATTATATTGCGCAAGGTTTATACTTTGTTTGTTATGATGATATATTAATATTTATTTATTTATTTATTTATAGAATTATTTTTCTACTCGCTGTCTCCATACAAATATACCTAGAATAAATCGAAAACAGATCTAGAAACTATCCACATGCTGGCAAGGGCTAAACTCACAAAAAACAGAAATCTTTACACTCACGTAAAGAAAGCCGAAAAATAGGATGAGAGTATTGATAGACTTTTATATTAACATAAGCACTTGATCTTTAAATCCGACTTTTTTTTTGCTTCTTTTCCATTACTTAAAAGTATAATTCTTTGGTATAATGCTGTTAGGTACTTAGGTGGTGGTTAATTTTATTTGTAATTGCTGCTGTTATAATTTTATAGACAGGGTTTTTCGTTAAATTATTTTTGAAATACAGTTATTGAAAGACCTGCCTCTGCCAATAAATTGTGGAGTATGCGACCTGGGATATTTGTTTACTTCTTTAGTAGGTATATGTATGCGCCAATATAAATTGCTTATACCAGCAGTGAATTTGTTTGTTATCTGCATCTAGGCATTAACAGCTATGAATTTATTATTATTATTCCAGACTTTATCGGCTTCTGAATATTTCATTACTATGACCTAATTTGGAAGCCAGAATGATATCAACATAAGTTTAATTTCCTTTTCATCATGAGTTACTGAATAACGTGCTCCACAAGACTCAATAATAAATATAAGATTGACACAATGTTAATCAAGACAATTTGTTTCATTTTCCAGAAAACTTGGTCTCAGGAGGGATGTCAAGTGCATCAAACCGCATGAATTCTTTGGAACAAGACACACAAACAGAACAGCCTCCTCCTGTTCAACTTGGTCCAAGTCACATTCCGCAAAATCGCTTTGAGCCATATTTCGACGCCATGACACCTCGCAATGTCACTGCACTTGTCGGAAAATCAGCGTATCTAAGTTGTAGGGTGCGAAATTTAGGAAATAAAACGGTAAGTACTGCGATTATTTTTATCACTTGTGCATTTATTTGCTTTGAAAAAGTACACACACACACACACACACACACACCATCATACACATTTTAATGGTCTCGGAAAGTAGGCAGAATTTTATCAGAGGGTTTATTTTCAAATCCGTAACGAATTAACTCAAGCAGGGAACATAAAACACCACAGTGATTTCAATTAGTTGATTCCCTCTTGAACGCGACGGCGACGGGTGAAAATTTCCGCTAACGTTTTCTCAATAAATCATCACAAGCAGTGCCGTACCCTTGTTTATTAATAATATTTTTATTATCAAATTAGTGTAATTGGTGCCCTCCTAGTTATTAACTCAAATTTATTAGTTTATTTCGATAATGTTTGCGAATAACTAAGATTGGAACGTTTAATTAATTGAGATTAGCAACTTGAAGGTGAAAACCCTACTTTACTTTATAATAACAGGATGTTCAATGCCAAAATATGACAATGCGCCACCTAATAACTTACGAACGAACAAAGTCAGATCCGGTTTGAACAGAACTGCTTTTCAAATGGGTCTGATAATATATTTTAAGTTGATATTTTAGTTTAAATAAGGCGATTTTCACTTGTTAACCTTTGCAGATACATTGTTGCGATACTGTGTATGGACCTCATCATCATAGGCGAACAATCGATACCGAGTATCATCATCTTCTATTCTATGCTTTTCTTATTAATCTTATTCTCGTCCATTGTGCGTTTCCTGATGGCTATACCAATCAATCCTGCAGTCCTCTTTTTCTGTCTCGTGTCTGCGTCGTTTTTCTTCAAATGTTTGTGGTCTGTCGTGGACTACTGGACGCAATCATTTACCTTCGTCTTCCAGTTGCTGGTATCGATGCGGCACTTCGCCATATTTTCCTTTAGAACATCTTTGTAGCGTTTTTGTTGTACTCCTTGTAGTTGGTACTTAATGACAAGGGCTTCCATGCTAGTTGTTTTTGCCTTCTCTACAACACTAATATGTTCGTTCGTCGGTCTTGCCATTTAATGCGTAGAATCCTTCTTAGGCCTCGATGGTGGTATTTTTCTAGGCTTTCTATGGCCGTTTTCGATTCGCAACCCGGTTCGGCCTGGTTGGTTCAGATATGACAGAAGTTGGTTGACAGCTTTTCCAACTCGCGAAGCTGGTTCGAATTTAGACGGACCAAGCGATGCCTGTCACGTCACCGGTTTGCAATCGAAAACGGTTGGTTCTAATTTGGTTCGCCTTGAAGACGGCCCAAAGCGAATCGAAAACAGTCTATGTGTCTTCTGTAGGTGGTCCATGTTTCTCAGTCATATGTAAGTGTCGGTATTACAACTGCATCGTAGCAAAAAGTTTGGTCTCAGCGCTGATGTCGTGATTGTTCAGGATTTTCTCTAGAAGTCGCCCGAATGCCGCGCTAGCACACCTGAAGCGATGTTGGATTTCAGCGTTAATGGTTGCGTTCGCTGACAGACGGCTCGCAAGGTATGGGTGATGTTCTATATTCTGCAAAGTATGGTCATTTATAGTTATTCAAGCGATGTCGGATTTTAGGTCAGATGGATCCCAAGGTATGAATAGTGTTCTACATCCTGCAAAGAATTGTCATTTATAGTTATATTTGGGGCTTGGATATTAGTATCCGGTGCGGGTTGGTGCAAAATCTGCGTCTTGTTAAAGTTGACCTTTAGGCCGATTTTCCTGTATGCCTAATTCAATAATTTCATCTTGGCTCGTCATCTGTTCAGGTTGAATAAGCCGCCATCAAGTCTGTACAGGATTTTCCCTCCTGACGGCAGGTGGCTCTCGACAAGTTAAAGTATGGATCCTTTAAATTGAGAACGTAAGGTGGGTGCAATAACACAGTGTGGTCTTGTATTCGTGCTGGTATCCATAAGTTTACGAATATTTCACGTGGCAAGATAGAGTTTGTTTCGTTCGCATATGCGTTGCACCCTCTGGACGCGGTTATCCCGTCAGGCAGTTTTTGGCTGGGTATGCTGATGCACAGTCACCAGACCTACGGTCCTTAAGCTTGAGTTCTGATCCAATCGCATAGAAACTAACCTATGGACCTATTATCATAGAATAAAAGATCGCCCCGTCCATCATCATGCCTAGCTATACTCGGCGTTCAGTTTGGCAGGTTTCAGAGGGCGCCACTAGACTGTAGGAAAAACGATTTTAATGGTGATGTTGAAACATAGTTAACCTAGACACCTTAATATTTATAATGATGGAATTGAAGAGAAAGATAGTATGGTTTAAAATCTAAATAGTCAACTTACCCCATTACTTCACTATAATATGAACACAAAATATTTAAAAAAAAATATTGTCTATTAAACGTTTATCCTTCAACAGAAAAGTGTATTGTAAATTTGAGGTTAATTACAGTTAGTTAATTAACAGTATCACTAATTAAATAAATGGATATACATAAATAAAATGGGATTAAACGATTGAATCCCTGAAGCAATAAAATTTAATTGAAATAGATTTATAGTTCTTAATTATTTGAAATTTGCGTTGCAAGAAAATGACCTTCCTTTGCATTTTTCCGGCTATATAATAGGTACAATTAAATTTGATGATCAATGCAATAGAATTAAATGTCTAGGAAAAGTCTAAGGTTGAATAGAGAACGGAAAAGATTTCCCCTGTTCCACCTCCAGCATTCCCAGGACTCCATTCTGGAGGTGGAACAGGTGAAATCGTTTTGGTTCTCTATTTAATCATAGACCTTTTCTAATTATTTAATTCTATTGCTAAAATGTTATAAAGTTGAAATCAGGTTATACCTGTCCGTTGTTTCGGATGAGATAAATTTAATAACAGCCATGAAAAGATTACATACAATAAATACAATAAAGAAATGCAAGCTAACACAAACTGTAGGTACGTATTTTCAGGGGAGTCGTTACGATAACAATAAAGGTAGGTGATTGGGCAATTTAACACTTATACAGGCCTGCCTCGACAAAATTACTGGGACGATCTGGTGTAGCGCAGCCTTGGTGGAAACAATGCTGGGGGCCATGCTCTGGACAATTGGCCAGGATCTCGGTGAAATTCTCCGAGTGGTTGATCGCCTTAGACCACGATTCTACAAAGAAACATGGGGATTCCAGTTACCGTAAAGAGAGAATAAAAGACATACCTCTTAGGGCCGTAAATAAGTATACCTTGATTTAATCACATCTCGATAAATTTGCACTGAAAGGGTCAATGAAATGTGCAGAGAAGACTACTGCTGGTTTTTGGGATTTCTGAATCTCCATGGATCGAGAAAAAGAAACGGGCTTCGAAACTACCGACATGGTTTTTCATAAGCTTTTCCGGATTTCTAATTCAGGCCCCTCATGCTTGAACTGAGAACCAAACAGTGAGTCCAAGCCGGAACAGTACGATAAAATTGGTTCTTACATTTAGAACGGGGAGGATAGATAAATATGTGCGGTGTAGGTCACTTTCGTTCGGAATGAAATCTACAATCGACCATAGGGGATGATGAGACAGATCAAAGGGACCATATATGCCAGTGACATTTAGAATCTTGCAACTGATAATCTAACCTGCATTGCCGTTATGTTGGCGGAACTTGGATGTTCATTGTTCTATTTTCTAGTTAATCACTTTACAAGTTTTATAAATAAATCTTTATTTCTCAAAAGGGTGATGTAATTATATTCTCAATTCATCATTTTATAACACGTCATTATCGTTATGGTCGCCTCTGGCGGATCCCTACCAACTAACTCTAAAGGAGATCATACACGGTTTTGCTTAATGTTACAGTGATTTATGGTATGAGCATGGTACTAGACAGCATTTTACTATTTATAACCCCGGTCGCCAAATCAGAGAAGTAATTTCTTCGTTGCTCCTCCTATGACTATATTCAACGTTTATGGGCTTGGAAGAAAACCTTTGCTTTCGTGAACAAGAACAAGAGAAAACACATTCCGGGTATAAATATAATATACCATGCGCATCCAAAGTATTAGCGTTAGGTTAATTACGATCTCAGAGAGTAATTAACTCTCTCAAGAATTTAAAAAGGTTGCCATTTGCCTTTTATGTATACACAAGGATGTTACTCTTCGTAGAAAATATGTACCTATATAAATCAATCAATAAAATATATCGAGAAATATATAGACACCGGTTGGAATATTTTTTCTAGGTACTCAAAATAAATATATTCAAAAATTAATATGTCGTCAAAGTAAAGCTAGCTTTATTTGACTTATCCCTGAGTGTTACTGCGGGCCAGTCGTCAATTAAGCATACCCGGTAATAGCTTTATAACTTTTTTACAATATCGCAGAAAAAAATTATTGTAGGTACACCTTGAATAAATATTAGGGATTATACAAAAATAAATTCAACTTTTAGGTTTAAATTCCCAATTTAGGCGATAGACATTTATCGAGGCCGATAAAGACTTTTGATTGGGACACAAAAAAAACCACACCATACTAAAATTTCTAGCCAATTTTACAGTGAGCCGTTTTCCAAAAAATGATCGGGATCGTTTGTAAAGCGCTTTTACCATAAAAAACGTCCACTGCCTTTTTTGTTTATTGTGTATTTTTATGAGTGGGGGCCTTATAGTATGCCGAAACCTCAATTGTTTGCCACTTGCATAATCTGTAAGTGTAGGTTAACATTTTGGAATACCTCAAGTCTGACGTTTAGAAACCAACATAAACATAGCGCCCTGACTTTTCCCACAGAGAAAAAAATCAAATGACCACTAAATTTGCAATTTTCTCAAATTCAAGCTAGCCTAATTTAATAGCAGCTAATTTAAATTTTTCATTTCTCGGGATTCAATGAATAGGTACCTATATAATTTGACTATTTGAAATATTTCATTATTATATAATTTAGTCGGATTCCTAAATTTTAAAATATTTAGGTCAAAAACAGCGCTTCAATATACGAACCGTAACATTGCCAATATTATGTATTTGTCAATTAGCATTTT